TGCCATCTCCAACATAAAGGGCTGCGGGACGGATCCGGCACCCAGTGGGAGACCAGGAGAGGCACAGCAGCTTCTTGTATTGATGGAAAAGGGAAGGGAGAGGTAAAGGAGCCCTTCCTTGAGTTTGTCCCTCCTAGGAAGGGTGTAACGAGACGGCGACTGGTCGCCAGCCCAGGGGGGAGGTTGAGGGTTTCGTGGTGCAGGAGCTGCCAGCTCCAATGCACGCCAGCTCTGCCGCTGGATTTCCCTCCAAAAGCGTTGATTGCCTTCCAGTAATTACGCAGCAGCATCTCCTGGCTCATGTCCATCCTCCCCTGAGACTGTGTGTTCCGTGCACCGTGACGGTTTGTGACGTTTGTGGTCGTTTTTCCTGTGTGAGCATCAGAAAAGAGAAAAGACTGGCAAAAGCATGAACCAGGTAGCTGGGTGGTATTCAGGGTTTTCCATCGGTACAGCCCTCAGTGTTTCCTCCCCACAAGATTTATAAAGCTCAGTCCACACGTTCAAGCTCTCCTTCAAAAGCCAGTGAAGTAACAGAGGCCTGCAAAGAAACTTGCAGCTCAGCAGTGAAGCTGGGACTTGGTCCTTGCAGCCCTTTGTCCCTTGTGCAGCTCTCTCTCTGCTGCAAGTCTTTAGAGTGGAAAAGAAAAACACACAGGAGCAGCTGGACTGAGGCCTTTTTGGGTTTTCTACTCCCCATCATAGCTCCTAAATTGTTCTAAAAGGATGGGGAGAGTTTCACACCTTTGCTCTGGCTTTGGTGAAGCAGCTCAGCCCTGGCAGAGGCAGAGACCAGAGCAGGGCTCCATCCTCCAGTGCACGGGAGAGGAGAAGACCTGAAGGTCACTTGAACGAGTGCGTCTTCCCAGCACGAGGATGGTGATGGTCTCAAGCCCTCTGCAAGCCAGAGGAGCTGCAGATGGAGAGCGATACCTGAGCACAGCCCTTCCTCTCCCCTGTTCACCGACACATGACAGGGGCGTTTCCTTCAGCCTCTGCCACCAGGTCAACACAATGAGGATCCGCTCCCATGGCTGCCCTGAACGAGGAGAAAAGCTTGTAGAAACCCAGGTCAAGTCGGTCCTCCACAAAGGAGAGGGTCGTGGTGGTTTGCTCAGCCCCAGGACAGGAGGTAGCAGAAGATGTGTCTTCTCAAAGGGACCGGCTCTTCTTCCTGCTCTCCTGCACTGAAGGGCAGAGGTAGAAGTGTTCAAGCCTATCTATTTTTGTATGTAAATATTCCTGCTATTGGTTAGCAATGTATTCAGCACACTTCAATTACTTGTGCACTGCACTACGGGGAAGTAATTTTGGAGGGGAGGGAGGGAATTAAAAAAAAAAAAAAAAGGAAAGAAAAATCTAAAGGCCAGTCTGGTAGGGGATCAGAATTCAACACAAAGCAGGAAAACACCTCCTGCCCAGAAAAAAAACCCACCGCCATAGCTTCGTCCCCTCTCCGGCAGCATCGAGTTCAGCTCTTGAGCACCACAGCAAGGCTCAAAGAACCGGTCTCAGCGTTTGCAGCTGCTTCTGAGAGAGTGTTTGCTTCCCAGTCGCCCCAAGAGATGAGCAGGCAGGTCGGTGACCTCGCGGTTCTGTCCTTGGCGGAAAACAAACGCGGCGAAAACGTGGGGCAGCAGCGAGGCTTTGGCTGCGAGGACGCCCCTGGCAGAGCATCTCCAGGCAGTCGGGTTTTTGGCACGTGCCTAAAGATCCCCCTTCCCAGTGAAGAGATGCCAAAGTGCTTTAATGAATCAGGTCCAAAGACTTTCCAAGAGAGCCCTACAGAGGCTTGAGATCAAGCAACCTTAAGTCCTTCCAAGCAGAGAGACCAGTCAAGATATTAACTGCTCAGCAAGTGCTTATAGAGATTTGTATTTGAACAGGAACTGTACATTTATTTATTTTTCCACACACCGTATTTTTACAACACTAATATTTTATAGTAGATTTTCCTTCCCCTATTTAAAGAACTATTTCCGCAAAAAAACCCCAAACCCATGTTGAGAGCATTCTTTCTGGGGAAAAAAAAAAAAACCAACAAAAAAACCAGGTAGGAAATGCAGTGATGAGCATCTTTGGCCTTAATCCTTCCCTTCCTAGACTGTAGCTGTAATTGCTAGACCAAAAAGAATTAAAACAAAACAAATGAAAAAAACCTACCCAGGCATTTCCTCCCTCCCTGCCCCACGCTCCTCCCTCCTCAAACAGCTTTAACACCCCGACACAAAGAGATTATTGCTCTTACCTTTCGGTGAGAGTTTTATGAGCAGCTCAAGATGTCCTTTGCAAGAGACTTTTTTTCTATTTTCGGATTCACGAGGAATGTGTAAATATTTTAGGGTTGTTTATCTCCCGCTCACAGTGCCACGACCCGGCTGACGAGGTTGATGCTGTGACCGTTGCCTGCAGAAAAGGTGCAGCAGAAGATATTGTCTGTAAAGGACTGCAGAAGCAGAACCTCTTTTCCCAAGGCTACCCGTTGAATCTTGCACATATACTAGAGCTCTTACGTACTGTATAGCAGCATCTCTCACGGGGACAGGAGTCTGATTTACACTGGAATTTACTGAGGAACTGGATTGTAGAGATTATTCTTGCGTTTTCCTACAAATATATTTTGAAAGCATCATGTATTTCTGTCAATAAACATTCTTATGTAAAAGATTCGCTTCTTGGCTGAGTGAAGAGGGGCGGAGGGAGCGAAGCCTGTGCCCGAGAGCCACAGTGACTCGTTACATAGGTTACAGAATCATCAAGGTTGGAAGAGACCTCTAGATGATCTTCATCTAGTCCAACTGTCTGTACTGTGACCACTAAAGCATGTCCCAAAGTGTCATCTACATGGTTTTTGAACGCTTCCAGGGACAGCAACTCCACCACTTCCCTGGGCAGCCTGTTCCAATGCCTCATCACTCTTTCAGTAAAGAAGTTTTTCCTAATACCTAATTTAAACCTCCCCTGGTACAACTTGAGGCCATAATTATGTTAGAACTGGCTATAGTTCGAGCTTATATGAAAACGCAGCACAGATTTTGCATGGTCCTGCTAGCAAGAACATGTAAAATGATTAGAAAAGCAGGAATCAAACTGACCCAGACTTTCAGAGGCAGCCAGCCATGGAAGGGCTTGTATTTTTCCCACACAGAAGAAAGTAGGATAGCTGTGAGAAAACTTCCCTTCGTGAAAAAATAAAGAAAAACTTCCAAGGGGTGGGACTCTCAGCTGATGTGGGCGAGAGAAGCCTTGCCAGGGCCAGGGTACCTGTTGGAACTGTTGCTGGCTTTAAGCTCGTGTTGGCAGGAAAGGAGATGGAGCTTGCCCTTATTTCTGCATTTCATCCTCCCTCGTGGCCTGCAACTCCTCCTTAGCTTCAGTCAGGCTGCAGAGGAGGGAATCAGATCTCACGTCCTTGAGCCGGGGAGGGAGAGTCACCAGCCAAAGGCAAGGACAGGGTCAGCACCAGCGTGGGCAGTTCGGCATCTCCATTTGCCTTCGAGTGCCCAAAATAAAATGTTTCATTCCAGGTTAAGTTTCCACTTATGCAAAGGAAGAAGGCGGAGGGGAGAGGAAGAAAATTTTAAAAAAAGAAGAAAAAAGAAGGAATTTGGTTTTATGCAAGTACTAAAAGTCAGCATTTGGGGTCAGCCTGTTCGAACTCTGTGTTCCTTCCCAGTAAAAGTTCTTGCAACTGCTAAGGAGGCGCTAGATTTATGGGAGAGTGACCCATCCCTTCCCTGGTTTCAGGGAACGAGGTTATTTTCGCAGCCATTGTGCAGGGCAGAGGAACGGTTCCTGCCGCCCAGGCACACCCCACCACCCATGTCACAATTTCTGCACCGCACAAAAGCCTTCGCAGACGTTTTCCCATTCCCAGAAGCAAACGCTGTTAGAACGAACAGATCTTAAACAAACGCCCTTGCGAGCATATATATTTTTATTAAGAAAGAAAATGAACAAAATACATTCTCTCCTTATGTACATTACATACAACGTAACTACATTTGTAGATATTCCTCGTATCACTCATTCTTTTATGTACAACATGGGGCTTATGCACCAACCCAGAAACTATCCAAGATGATTTTATGCCAAAGAAGAAAATTAACACCCCAGGCTGAACCAAGACTGTCTGGGTTTATCTGCAAAGAAAAGGGCAGGAATCACCAGAGTCCAGCAACGATGCCGGTAACCACCACAGGCTCAGCACAGGACTAGTCAAAATTCGACTTGCCTGTTAGAGCACGT